GCTTAAACATGAGATGCTAAAATGTTATTCAGAGACTTAGGTATTATAGACAATATGTAGTGTAATTTCCTACAGCTTTTTCCGTTGTACACTGTTTATGCCTCAGTTTGCTTTTTAAAATTTTAATTCTTTCAGATATATTTGGGAGTTTCAAGGGAAAATATGTAACTTCAGCAATGCACCTAAACTGTTTAAATCTCCTAGACGTTTATCAGTTGTGCATTACATGCTTTCCAACATTGGAGATGCTGTAAGTGGAGCCATGGCTCTGTTAGAGCATCAGACCTTGGGGGAGCACAGCATAGGTCTCCAAATCCACAGGATTCTTGAATAACCTAGAGCAAGTTTCACAGTCCAGGTCTTGATTCCTTCATCTGTAATATGAGATAATAATTCCCCACCTCAGAAGCATGTTGTTAGGTTAAAAGGTTCATTTTGGCTGCATGGGTGTTACGGAAACAGGACTTGTATAAAAATTAAGAATCGGGAAACAGATGCATTCAGAGCATAGCCTGGAGCTTGCAGTGGTGTCTGTGCTGGCAAACACTTCTGCATTGGTAATGTCTTTGGAAACATTTGGAAATCTGCATGCAGAGGTCAGTAGGATGTTTTTAACTAGAAAATTGTACAATTGTTCTACTTTTTGATAGATTTAGCTATTTATGTCCCATCTTAGAACAACTTAAAAGCCACACTTTCCTGCTTGATGACCAAAATCCAGTTAGGACAGACAGGTGAATTCCACTATTAAGATTTTTTTGAAGACAAACATTAAGTAAAATAATTAGTTATCATTCTAGGAAGTCTCTGATCTTCCATTATAGTGGTAAGTTCCAAAAATAGATGAGTACAATAGGAAATCTTTTAACAGGGAGGAAAATCTGAGCTTCTACTGTTCTCATCTCATGTTTGGGTATTTTTTTTTGCCTTTGAAATGGTAAAAAACCCCAACCTACCCCTTATTTCAGACACTTGAAAACTCTGAGCGGCTCCTCTGCGTTAGTGCTTGCTCAGTCAGTGAGCTCAAAATAGATTTGCTAGGGTGTTGCATGATCCACTATACTCACGTTTAATAATTATAAGCTACCTTTTGCTTTTCTTAAACAGCATGATGCCTCCTAAGGACGTGTAGTATAACATCACAATCTTCTGGAATAACGATCTTTACTTACCTGATGAGGTAAGACTGAATGTAAGCCTTTGCTTGCTCTAATGTATCAGTCAGCAGATCTCTTCTGAAAACTAAGCCAAGAATTGAAATATCTCCTTGTGGTTTAACCCCAGCTGGCAACTAAGCACCACACAACTGCTCGCTCACTCCCCCCAGGCAGGATGGGGGAGAGAGGTTGAGATAAAGACAGTTTAATAAGTAAAGCAAAACAAGGAATTCATTCACCGCTTCCCATTGGCCGGTAGGTGTTCAGCCATCTCCAGGAAAGCAGGGCTCCATCACGTGTAACGGTTACTTGGGAAGACAAAATGCCATCACTCTGAACGTTCCCCCTTCCTTCTTTCCCCTGGCTTTATATGCTGAGCATGGCATCATATAGTGTGGAATATCCCTTTGGTCAGTTGGAGTCAGCTGTCCTGGCTGTGTCCCCTCCCAGCCTTTTGTGCAGCCCCAGCCTACTCGCTGGTGGGGTGCTGTGAGAAGCAGAAAAGGCCTTGACTCTCTGTAAGCACTACTCAGTAATAACTAAAATATCTCTGTTATTATCACTGTTTTCATCACAAATCTAAAACATAGCACCATGCAAGCTACTCTGAAGAAATTTAACTCTGTCCCAGCCAAAACCATATATATGGCTCTGTACATACTTTCTGTGCTGCATTAACCTATGGCCACCATTGAACAGCTATGCTGGGCTTTCTAGAGAAAAAGAATGGAGTAACTCAGTTACCTTGTCAGGATAGTCTGCAAGGCTTGATTTTTCTGGGGAAAAAAGTTTAAAAAAACTCAAAATGACAAAGTGCAGAAGATCCATCTTAATGGCTTCTGCATCATTCTTCCCCACGTAACAGTCCAGCCTTCAGACCAGTCCTAAAACTCTTAATCAGCAATCTGCTGTAATGCTGTCATGAATTTGCATGTGTCTGCCTTTTCCAGTGCCCTACTTGTATCCTACTGGAAAAGGCATTTTATTGACATTTCATTGGTGCTCTGTTATCTTATTGATCTGATTTTGTATGTTCGGAGAAAACACAGCACCCTTTTAATTAGGGCCATCAAGCTTACTGAAAAGTTGTAAACAAGGATATTTTATTGATCTCTTACCATAGGTGGCACGTATTGCTTGTGCATTGCAATTTTAAGAAATCTGTTTTGTTGTGTTGGATTTTTGGAGCTGTATGGTAGGCTAACAGAGAAGGAAGTGTTAACTCTACTCTGAAAGCAATGGAAATCAGAGGTGTTACTGAGATCTCATTAAGCTAAATCTTCTTTACATGTTACATTTTAGAAAATCTTCATGAGACCCAGGGCGAAGGAGGAGGAATGCCTGTTGCTTTTGATGAGACAAGGGTGATTACCAGAGCCCACTGAAGCGCTTCAGATTTGAGATAGTCTTAAGAATGCTTTTTAGCAGTAGGCAAACATTTGGGTGCTCTTCAGTATTTTGTATTACTTTGAGAATATGCAGAACATAATAGCCAGAATATACAGCAGGTTGTGAATTGTTCTTGTGCATTGTATAAATTTGATTAAGTCTTGGTGGTCGGAGCAGTTTATAGTCCTTGTTGTTAACCAAAGAAAATAAGATCCAGTTTTCATAAAATGAAACTCTACCGTTGAGAAATAAACAGTGAACATGTTTTAACAATAGAGAGGCCCCTTTGGCTACTCTGTAGGTCAGTGTTTGTGTACTCACAGCAACTCTCCTGTTTTACCCACTGAGGTGAAGGAGAGGGAGATCTCTAAAGGTGTGTCTGTTCTGTGAGATTAGTATGTCTACCTGGGCTCTATATGGAAGAAACTGTCCATGCAGGTAGTGGATATTGAGAAGTTAGCTTCTGGATATTTGACTGACATACTGTAGAGCACTTGGATTGAACTGAGAAGTGGCATAGTATTTTGGTGAGCTTTCTCAGAATAAATGCATCTTTCCCATTCTCCTTACCCTCCGGTTCCTGGTCCTCATGTGCCGAGCAGTCAAGGATTGGCCTCCCCATTTTGTTTTCTTTTGTTTTTTCTTAAAATTGTTCCTGTTCCATGGTAAAAATGAAGCAGACCTTGAATCTGCAGTGATATATGCTGTTGCAGGTACTTTTTTCCTGTTTCTTTCTTTAAAACCCTCTCATAGGTAAATATGTAGTCATATTTCTCAAGAATTCTAACAGTATTATAACTTGTGGCAGTACATACGTTGTTTACAAGGACACTAAAGCAGTGCTTAGAGTTGGCTCTAGGCTGAAGTTCAAACATCATCAACCTCTTCATAACAAAACTATCTTACTGCAGGGGGGAGAAGTAAGACTGTGATTCCTAGAAATGTGGTTAGACAGTAGAATGCCACCAAAATAATCCCTGACTAACCACTGAAGAGAGCTGCGCAAGTAGAGAAGAGTTTTATTACATTGGTGCAGTGCATCAGTCCAACCCCATCTCTTTTCCAATAGTAGTTCCGTACTCATTCCTGAACGCAATAGTCATGCAAGTGATTTTAGCTTCCTATTTTGTTCTTTTTGATTTGTAAACCAAAACATCCAATTTATTTTCTACAAAATTATATGGCTTGTATGCCCACTTACTTGATTGCTTGAAAGCTTTCATCTGTAGAGTTTAGCTGTTTAATTTGCGTGCTTTTGGGTGTTATTTTGTCTGAATTTGGAGTTCAGCTTTGAAAGCACTGCATTATATTCACATTGTTTTTATTTTACTATCTATATATATTTTACTTTGGGTGCATCAAAGGTTTCTGTCAAAATATGTATTGTATTATATTTTTTATTGCTTAAAGTATTCTTTCTGTTTTCTGCTTGTTCCTGCCTATGCACGCTCTTAAAATAAACCAGCTAGACCAAATAAAATTCCTTTTGTTCTTTTGTGTGTGTGTGCATGTGCACCATTTTGAGATAAGCTGTAGATTTAGATGGCGGAGACTATAAAGAGGAGTTTTTGGCTTTTGTGAGGTTCTGTTTTGAATGCACTCTTGTTTTGTGTTTACTTTCTGCTTGCTTGCCCCTTTGCCAGCAGAACAATTACAATATTCCCCCCCCCCCCTTTTTTTTTCTTCAGACTGGAAAGCATAGGAATGTGGAGCATGACAAGGACATTACCTCTGCAACGTTCAAATAAGCATCTTTTGTTCCTACAGAAATTTTAGAAGTCCTGCAGACTTCTGCCAGTCTGAAGAAATCCAGGACTTCTTACCTGGAGCTGTTGACAGGATGTAGTTTAGGGGTGGCTTTATTTGGTACCTCTCCTCTGGGGTTCCAAAGCACACTTAATACAAGAAGAATTCCCCAAAACTCTGGTGTGTTAATAGGAACGATCCTCCGATTCATGAGATCAGTGAATAGCATAGTTTAAAAAAAAAAAAAAAAATTAAAATCCCATCATGCTGTAGGACTTTTGATTTTATTCTGATATAAATGACTTGGCATTTAGCGAAGTATTGCAGAAGTAGAAGGCTGCCTAATAGGGGATTTATGCCTCGGAGCATGGAGTTTTCATATGAATAGATGAAGTCAGTTTCAGCAGCACAAAGTAACATTATATTATGGGCAAATGCATTGTTATTCTGGCAAAAAATGAATGGTATCAGTAAAATGTATCAACCTAAGAAAAAGTGGGGCCAGGTTCTTGGGTAGAATAGATAAATGTATACATATATGGAAGGATGGGGAGGGAATAGATAAATGCTTTTAACAGAGAGGGAAAACTGCTCTTAAAAGGAAAAAAAAATTGCGTAAGCTTTTTTCCCTTAAAAAAACTAAAAACAAAACCCAAAACCAACTCCCCCCCTCAAAAAAAACCAAACCCTTGTTTGCTTCTGTTTTAGAAAATCTAATGAGGCCCCTTAAGAACTATGGAATCGCATGGTAAGCATATGTTTTAATTTAACTCAAACTTCTTTACAGATGTACTTGGTATTGTGCTGGAAAGCTTAACTTTTTGCTTTGTTGTTTCAGCATGTCTATGGGTTTCTTGATAGAAGAGACTGCCCCAGTTGTGTGGAGAGGGCTCATGGTAATGTCAGCTGTTGAGAAGCTGTTGAGACAGGTAAGGACTGAGGGTACATATTTGTGTTTCAAACTAATTGGTTATTTTAAAATGCATTTAACTGATACATGAGTGTCCATGATATTATTTCATGTATTGGTGGTGAGCTTTTTTGTATTTTGGTGGTCTTAAATTCTTAAGAATTTAATCTTAACTTCAGGTAAGAGGGAAAGTTGACACTTTTTGTGTTTATCCCCTTCAAATAGACCTGTTGTTCCATGCATTTGATGGGTGAATCATCCCAATTTGCCTTCCTTCTCATTCCTTTTTATGTTTCTTTATGCAATTGTTAAAAAAAAAAAAGGCATTTTGAAGTTGCCTAAGGATTTGAATGTATAGGTGTCTATGCATATCTACAGCTGTATTCCCTTATGTGCTTGTTAATCACCAGCACTAAGAATTCTTGGATGGCGTTTGATGTATGACAGGTACATGAAAACCATTAGATACCATCTCTGTGTAATGCAGATAGGTTGATAGTTAATAAATTTCCTGGCACACAGAAGCTGTGTGGCTTTTTTATTTCTTGACAGATTTTTTTTTTCCCCCCCTCTTATTGTGAATAGATCTGTGAAGTTCTAATGAGACAAACAGCTAAAAAAATGCATTAAGGTTGGACGTTTAGACTTTGAAGTGGCCCAGATTGTTCACAGCTGACATCCATTCCAGGGATTTAATGTATACAGCTTGGAGATCACTAGGTTTCTGTATGTATTCTGTAAATGCCTCCAAATCTTGTGCTCCCTTAATGACTGAAAAGAAGATTTTTTTCAGCCTTTTTCCATTTTTACTGATTTCTCCTCTGACACAGACTTTAGAATAGCAGCAATCATTGCCCTAGTCAGAAAAGCCATGTGTCTGCCAAAATTTCAGGAAGGACATCTTTGTCTAGATTTGGCCTTTAAAAATACGGGCTATCCATGCCAATAGCTGTGGAAGGCTGTTCTGACCTCTTTGTGTGTTGCATTGCATTGGCCAGGCTCACAAAGACTACAGCCTAAAACCTCGGAGGTGGAGCTAAAGTTAGCACCTGCTGTATTGGTGTACTTCACCCTGGGAGACTGAAGTGGCAGGCACTCCAGTGCCGTTACTTCAATCAGTAGTATCCCCAGATGGGAAGCATGTGCCAGCATCCTTCTGGAGGGTGCGGACGATGCCATGTAATGAGCTTGTTGCTCCCTAGCAACCGATGAAGCAGTTACATGCTGGCAGATCATGCTGTAGGAAGGAGACAGAGTCCATTAATGTTCGGGGCATCAGTGATTTCCCTGACAGTGGAACCTGAATTCTGAAAGAGGAAGGCTTTACAGCTAAATTTCTTTTCCCCACAAGCATTTTGCTTCTGCATGACAACCATGGTAGTCTTAAATCTGTGCTGGAGAAAGTTGTTTGCATCTCCTCTTTTGAAGAAAGAAGCTTACAGATCACAGGGAGAACCAGCAGGTTCTATCTGATGTACAGGTGGATTTTAGAAAATAACAAATACATTTTCCAGACTAACACATGCTATTTTGGTTTTAAAAACTGTATTCTCCCTTCTGACATAGTTACTAGTCAGCCTCAAGAAGGGGTTAACTGTAGAACCAATAGTGTTATAGCTTTGGACGTCTGAACAAGAGAGGACCACAGCATGCGATGATGTTTTTAAAGATACTATAATTTCATTTTACATTAGAAACAGTTGTGTGATCTGTTGGGGGCTTTGAAATTTTTCTTTGTTTTCTCTTTATCTGTTCTGGTTGGTCTTAGCTATTACCTTTTGTTTGACAGGATAAAGTTGCTTGCAAGAGTAAAATACTTCTGCTTGTATTTAACTTTCTAAAACCATGTTCTTGAGAAATAGCTGCTTTACCTGTATGGCTACATATAAACCATTTAAAGTAGTACCCTAATCTAGATTTATAGTATAACGTAAGTGTAAGTGTAAGGAGCTTGTGTGCTTTCAGACAAGCTGATAAAATATTAAGTTCTTAAAATAATGAAGTCAGCCGGATAGAAAACACAGAGGTTCCCAGACTTCTGCATTAAAAACACTGGTGGTATTTTATAATGGTGTTTATTTTTAGATGGTGGAGGGTTTTTTGTTTGTTTTAAGAGCATCAACTATGCGTTCACTCTGTAAATAACTTTGGACGCTTGTTTGGTTTTTTCCATATGAACAAATCTGTTTTCCAGAGTTTATCATGCTTCAGATACTCCAATAAAGCATCGAAGGGCCTAGTTTCCAAATTCGTTAACGGGGACTTGTTAACTCATTAACTTCTTGACTTGTGATTGGTGGTCTGTGCCTGTAATGAGTATTTAAATGCTTCTCTTACACTTGCAACTTATTTAAATTTCTGGAATTCTTACTTTGGAAAATACATTTGTTAAGAAAGCACATAATATATATATTTATATACTTACTGCATGTAGCTTCACTCTTTGTAATATGTGTAAATTTGTCCTTCTCTGGTTTTACTTCTTTGGTGGATGAATGGCTTTTCAGCACAGTCCAGAGTCCAACCTCGTTTTTGTCTCTTTTCACTTCTACTTGCGTATGGCCAGGATGTACATTGTTTTTCAGATAAAACACCACCTTTTAAATCCAGGCTCTCCTTTTGCCACGAGTCTAGTCTGAGAAGCTACCTTTGTTCTTGTGTGTTGTATGGTGTTGGACTGGTAGGTAGCAGGCAATAATACTGAAGACCAAAATCAGTGCTTGGTGTTTCTCTGGTAATCCATATCTCAGGAACAAGGACGGTTTTCGGGGACACATCATATAATTTTCCTTAAACAGAGTTTGAAGGAAGTGTGCCTTAGAATACAAAATAGAGTTAACAGTTTACTATACTATATTACATACATTACATATCTATTGATGAATGTGTATCGAATTAGTATATAAATGAAAATATATAGCATATTGATTCCATAATGTGTCCTAATTTTATTAAAAGTATTGCTCAATAGAAAAGAAGGAAAGGGATGAAGATAAGTTATTGGAAGAACAAGAAATACATAAGGAAATGATTTTTCACCTGTAGTGAAAGTGAATTACAAACAGTAATGGAACATTTGATTCTATATAAACGTATTCATAACTCTTTCAGCTAAATATACCTCTAGTTTACATGCCTTGAAATTATCCAAAGTTTCGTTGTGGCTGAGAAGTGACTTGTTCGTTCATATAATTAGATGTACTGTAGACCTGTTCATACTGCAGGGTGATCTTTCTCTTATCTGGATTTTAACTGTTCCTATTTCCCTGCCACAGTTATCTTCATTTAAAAATTCTTTCACCTCTGTTAACGCTTCTTTGAGTCTTGCTTGCCTGTAGGTGAGATAGAAGAGAGCATTTTTTTTGTTTATTTGAGTTTTTTAAAAGACAGTTCTTTTCTCTGAGGATATTGTTAAAGACCAGGTAAGGAAGTTTTGATAGTTCTCCAGTGTCATCTGTAGCACTAGGCTTTTTCTATTCAGTTTTCACTTAACATACACTTCAGAAGCTGCCTACTTTTTAGTATAGTCCCATTCAGCACTTGTCCCTTTACTCTGTGTGTGTCTTGACTCGGTGCGACGGTACTTGATTCAGATCAAACAAGCTACCTCAAAATGCATCATCTTTGTGTATTTGTTGTGGGAGTGACTTCTGATTAACCTTTAGGGTAAGTACAGTAAAGATACAAATTTTTTTTTGAGAGTTACCTAAAGCCTGTACTTCAACAATAATGTGTCTGAAAAGCTCTGTTGAAATAAGTATCAAGTAGACAGCTAAGAACCTTAGAAATATAAAGATTATTAAAAAAAAAAAGGCAAGCAAAACTTGTTTGCTGGTTTAAACTGCTTTTGCAACAGGGCTTTTAAATGGTCATGACCACTGTCCCGTACAGTCTGTATGGTAAGTTTTCTAGCACCATTCTCGTTTCTGTCTGAGGATATCTTGACAGTTCAGTGGCAGAGGAGCAGTTAGAAGGGTGCAGGCTCAATCCTGAACTGATCCAGGGGCAGCAAGACTAGCTGCTGTATGTCCTGAAGTATATCGTGGCGATTGTTCTGCCAGAAGGTTGGGGCAGAGGAAGTGGCACTGTGTTGGCTGCCAATTTAATAGCTGCTATAGTCATAGCAGCAATACAAACGGAGGGGGTTTCTTGTTTAGGCAGTAATCAGTAAAACTTCTAATATGAAGGATAGTAAGTGTTGGTTTCTCTGATCTTGAACTCTGTCTTAGTCTACATGTGTTATCAAGTTGAAATACCAGCAGAGAAGGAAAAAAATTGACTATGCAGTGGACAAGTCAGCTTTTCTATTGAAAAAAATAAAATAAAAAAGTGGGTCTACAGGTAAAATACAAGTGCATATTTCAGCATGTAGTGTTCTCCTTGTATCTTTGTCATATCAATAGATAAAGTTCTATCAGTATTAGAAGCAAGCATTACTTACACAACATGGATTATAGATGTTAGCAATTCTGTTAAGTGCAAACAGTCCCCTTGGAACTAGCCCAAAAATCTGCTCTCAAGGCAGGGATCTCTGGTTGATTAACATCCTTAACAGGATTTCTTACCCCGACATGACATTTTAACCTATGTTTTTGCAGGCTAGTCAGATCTTACATGGCAAGACTCTTGTATTTCTTCCTTATCATGCTCCTCTAGAGTATCAAGAACATTTTGTGCATTGGCAGCCTCCTTGGTGTAGTACGGCTAAGAAGAAGAGCCTCAGTGCTGTTAAGTGTATTGTGAGCTCTAAAGGTTCCTTAGATGTACCTGATAAGGATGAACACATTTTCCCAGAAAGATGATGAAACTTTTCCTGGGGTGGCTCAATTCTAATGAGTCTCTAAAGTACTCTTCTTATTATCTAATTGTAATTCCTCCACTTCTTTCTTGCTGCTTCTTTTAGCACCACTTTAGTGCCTCTGCTTTATAAAAGGTATGTATTGAAAGAAAATTAAAATAAAAGTTTCATTGGGAGGGATATAATTGGAAAGGAAAGAATACAGGGAAGCAAATTATGTA